CCAAGATGATTCTGAAATTGGACTGTCTTCAGGGATTCCTTGGTTTGAGATTCTTGGTGACAGCATTTTTATCCCACTCTGGTTGGAAATATTCTTCTTGATTCTCAAGTACGTTATTTGGTGGATTTTCGTTAAACAGTTCTGTTACATAATACTCGTTTTGTATATGAAAACTAATTCGATCTATATAGCTGCCACAACGGCTTTGTTGAGGTAATTTTGACTACTGGATTTATCATTACTGCTAAATAGTACTTCAAGTTTCAAAGGAAACGACCGTTGTTCGAACCCCAGTGGGTGCGTTCTGTGGAGATTTCCAAACTAGGACGAAACAGCTTTTCAGTATTACCAGATTTTCCAATGGTTCTCTAACCGATGTCAGCTCATGATGAAATCCTGTAACAAATGACCATTGTTTTACTACCTTTGGAGCTTTTTGTTACCATAGGTAACTTAAGTTCCGATTAGCCATACAATAGAATGTAAAGACCAGTTTCCTGCGTTCAGACTGCAACATGTCGGTCTCGGTCGCTGCAAATGATGAATTGCTATTGGTTGGAATGCGTTAGTGAGGCGGGTTCAGGTGTGTTCATCTACCATGTTTCCATTTCTTAGGCAGATAAACGAACCGATAATAAGCCAGCATTTAACATAAGGAAAAACACCCTTTTGAGACTAAGGCATTTATACACACCACTGGTGAAGAGTTCTTCTGTATTTCAATAAAACTCATTACCATATTGGTAATTTAAAATTTGACTGAGTAGTTGTCAGGTTAGTTATGGTTAAGTGGTCATTTATACCAACCAGGTTCTGAGATTTTAAGAAGCAGAATAGAAACAGTACATATATCAGCCGGCCATTTCATTTGGTGGAGTAAACTAAGTGAGGTATAACTGAAATATTATGGATTAAAAACTAAGTTTCATTAAAATTCTGTCCTGATCGTTGCTGTATCGCTTTATCTAATCGATACTGAACTTTCTAGAATTCACACTGGTTGTTTACAAAATTACTCCAAATTAGAAGTATTCTTCTAATTTTGTTTGTGTCTAGGATGTAATCTCACTTGTAGTAGTGCAAAGGAATGTAAGAATATTTTCGATGGCTATGTTGGTCAAAACAGAAAACTGTATTATTAAGATTGTATACATACTTTGCGGTTACCTTGCAATAACTCTCTGATGAACAGTAACATATTGCCAGTGTTAGTTTGCAAGGATTCGATTGGCTATGAGTGTGACCACGAGATGACATCAGTTAGGGGACCAGTGGAAAGCCTACACAAACTAACGGAGAGCAGTTTACTTCTAGTTTGAGATTATTCGGCATTACGCAAACGTTCACCTTGTAAACGGAAGGTCTTCGGTTCAAACTCTGGTGGTGGATGCGTACTTCTAAAGAGTCCCAAACTTAAACGAAAAAAATGTCTAGTACTCGCATGTTTTTCAGCGGTTCTCCAACTTCTGTCAACTCGCGATCAAACCAGCAAAATAATATATTAAGCATAGACAGGTTCATTTTAGTGTAAGTGTGAAGATGGCTCTGAAAACGCTGTCTAGAAAGACTACAAAATGCTTTTTAATTAATAGAATATAGAGCTCAAAAAGTAAAGAACAACACCGAAAAAGAACATCTACATGTGCTCTGAATTCTCTAAAATATTTTAAATTCGTAATACTTTAACAATATATATATATATTTAGAACTTCACAGAGTTGTACTTCTGTCCCTCATCAGAAATCCCTGTATCAAGTAATTCCTTGATTTCTTCAGTAACTATGATCAGAATGAATACATAAAGATTACCTAAGGAGAATTTGTGTCCATAAAAATTTTATTCTTTAGGTTAGATTGATTGTGAAATCAAAGTGTGCATGGCCGAGAATGGGGTGGGAAATGCACACCCTTCAATGAAGGTATTAGCTTTTTTTGGCATTGTATAATCTTGATGTATGCGAAGGACTATGTAATTTAATTAGTATCTAAAGTTATTAGGATGGCTGTACATCATCTAGAATAATCTTTAAGTTAATGAAAACAGACCGAAAGCAATTAAAAAAAGGTAGGCATCTGTCAATTTCATTAAAAGACTGTCAAAAGCTCCAATCTGGATTATAGGATTAATATGTGAAGATTTTGGATTAATTACAACTGACAGACGATCGTCACGAAACAACATTAGTTAGAATGATCATTGAAAAGCAGGGAACAATGGACGGCTGCTTAGTCTAATTGTGGGACACTTCATCAGTGTGAACCCACAACCTCAACAAGGATCAAATCTAAAAAACCTTCATGTTACGAGACCAAGGTAGTTAACCATTTAGACACTCCGGCTGGAATTCAGTAACGTCGAATTCTAACGATATCAACTCGTGAAAATCTAACAATTATAATTAGATTAGTATTCATACAAATCTTATAATCTGAATGTCAACCAACCACCAGCCCACGGAAGACTAGGGAATGGATTTCCTGCATCTGTGTAGTTGGAAGTCGTGACTATTGACGTCCACCATGTCAAGGTGAAGCGGATGCTCATCGAAGACACTGTGAAAGCAGCGCTGTTGACAAAGTTAAAATTCATAGGTTAATGAATTCTGGCCCAATTTCGCTGAATGGTTGACGAACTTGTTCTTGTAACCCAAAGGCCCCGATTTCACCCACTGCTGCTATGATGATGGGTTCGCACCACCGAGTAGTCACTGTTATAGGATGAAACAACTTTCAAGTGCTCCCAACTGGCTTTCAATGATCTCTGTAAGTGACGCTGATCCTAGTCAAATGTCTGACAATTGTAGAAGATATCTTATAGCAAATAAAGCCAGTTCCAGAAGATTCTCCACTAGAAAGCAATTTCACACAAACATTTCATTTGTCTTCTGTATGAAACGATTTATTTAATGATTTTTGTGTTGAATAACATAAGTAGAGTTGTGTTTTCTATTTAAAATTTCAGTGCTTACATGTGATCCCCGGGGTGTCACGCATTACACTTAAAATAGAAGTCTAAAGTGAATTGATTTACTCAATAAAACTTGATTTTTAGACATAGTAAGACTGGTAACCCAATATTTCTTGCATAGTGATTGCAATAAACTCTACTAATAATTCATTCCGGGTTGAACTGCCAAAGTGAATTTGTTAATATGGATGTCTCACAATGTGAATTTAAAACATTTAACTCTAACGGAATAGTCGTTTCAAAAATCCCTCCCAACGATCTATTTACTATACGGCTACTCATTTATGCATTCCAGAATAACTTCGTAATTATTATCCTGTCACCTCCTAGACTAAACATCATTGTTCTGACGTTTGAATATCATCTGCTCACTTATCCCTATTTATTTGTCTTCGTTCCTCTTCAATTTCTGATCTTATTGTTTCTCTTTGTGTTTGTGTGATGATGATATTGATTATGTGTTGTTTTGCGAATTCGGCTTTTTGTTTAAGTTAGTCAGGGTAATTCTAACCGTGGACTGTCAGTAGGAATAGTTTGGTATGTGATTCTTGATGTCAGAGTTTTAATCCCACTCTGGTTGGGGATATTCTTCTTGATTCTAAGGTACTTATTTGCACTTCAATTTTCGTTAACTAATTTTGTTCTCCAGTACTTGTTTTGTACAAGGAACTTATCTGATCTGTATCACCACCTTATGGCACCGTTGAGGTAATTTTGTATTTGTCTAGCGAATAACTGTTTCTTCTTTCTTGAAGAGTTTCCTGACTGTGCGTGTCTCATGGAAAGTTTGTTTAGTTATACAATAGAATGCAAAGATTGGTCTCCTGAGTTCAGACCACAACGAGTCGGTTTCAGTCGTAACAACCCAATCTCTTTTTGATGGAGAAAATATTTCTAAGAATTGTCTTTGAAACCTGCTGATAAAATAACTTGAAATTCAAAGGATAAATACATCTCATTACCTCTCACTGGAACAGCCTATCCAGTAGAGGAGTTGAATAGCTTATACATTATTCGATGAGTATGGGAGGATAATATCTTCTGCTGTAGTAGTTAGAAGAGGAGGTGTGGTGACACAAACTGATGATTGCTTAAACCAGTACTCGATGCCAGCAGTGGCATAATTGTGCCTAGACCATTTAAGAAAGATTTCTTTATCAAAAACAACATATACGTGAAACAAAATCTATAAATTATTTAATTGAATTTTAGATTTTCTCGTCGACTGATTGGGCCGAAGTGCTCGTTCTCAGGTTTACATGTCGACGATGTCTGGGCATGTATTTATAAGTTAATTAGTGGATTGTGGCTAGTAGTGGAATCCAGAGTGCGCATTTCCTCCTTTTTGAGACTCGTCAGTCGGATGTATCTGAATTCTCCAGTGAGTGACGATGTTCTCACCGAGACGCGAACTCATTGCTCATAGTTTCAAATGCCAAAGCCTTATCCACTGGACCCCTGAGGCCCGGGTCCAATCAAATGACGGAAAAATCTAAAATTGAATCAAGTAATTAATATGACCCCTGCACAAAAGCTGGCCCTCGAGCCCAATTGGTCTAGTGAATAAGGCTTTGACGTTTGAAACTGTTTATTTTTTTATTTATTTTTGATTCCACACAGTAATTTTTTCGGTAAAGTTATGGAATTTTCAGCATGTGATATCGGTAGCCCAAATTTCGCAGGCCGACCATAGATATCAGGTGTGCGTCGGCAGGGGATCGAACTCTGGACTATATGCATGGTCGGCGAGAGTCATAACCGCTGTGCCACTGACACACAAAACTCCTGATGAAGGTGAGTTCGAGCCCCAGTGGGAACATCATCATCACTCATTGTGGAGTACAGATACATCCATCTGAAGAGTCCCAAATAGGAGGAAATGCGCATCAAGCTGGATTCCAGTGCTAGTCACCATCCACCAATTAACCTCTAATTAAAATCTATAAATATTCGACGGTACCATTGGATACCATTTTTTCAAATCTCGAAAACAGTCAAACATATCAGGACAAACATCCATCTTCACACTTACCTTTATGCTTGTAGGCAATTCCAATAACACTGGGAAATTATTCTCTCCAGAATGATATTCCCCATTCCATACTGGTGATACAGATTTTTGAATGAATTCAATATTTGAATTTCTTGACCATTGGTGTTCAGGCAATACAACTGGATCTAGTGTTGTATCGGCTATTACAGTTCCACTAGCTGCTGCTGCTGCTGCTGCCGCGGCAACAGTTGGCGTTCCACCACCACCGCTGAAAAAATTCAATATACACTGATTCGATAAAGCATTTGATGTATTAGCCTGTTGAATAGTAGTCAGTGATGGATGATGCGGTGACCAAGATGGATTTGTATTTGGACTGGCATTCAAATATTGAAGAGGACAAAGTGTTTGAGCTTTCTGATGATGTGGGAAATTTAGAATTCCATGCAAAACATACACCATTGCATAATTTAATAATAAAAATTTAATGAATTAATTCCAAATAATTGTAATTGGGATGATGAAAGGTATTCGATAAAATTGTTATCAAAAAAAAATGTTTTGATTTTGTTAAAGAGAATAATTCAGCAGTTTCGGTGTTTAACTGATTATGAAGTAACACGTTAATTTTTCAAACAATCCAAAGAGGCGATAAAAATGGTTAAAAACAAAATCTATCCTGGTATAAATTAATGATCAAATGTGAGTTTCATTCAAATTAAGCTCAACTACTTTGATTTGATAATGTGTAAAATAATGATGAACGTATTTCTATGAGTAGATTGAGTCAATACAGCCAGCCTGCTATCCCTTTTCCCATTTTATTATTCACCTGAGTAGTTAGTTTCCTTTTAACTTATATGCTTAGATTAGTACATATTGACATACTTATTACTACTACTATTTTATATAAGTATACACTTAACTTGCTTATTTTTGTGAACAATGAGAATACTAACCAACTAACCAACCAGTCAACCAACCGACCAAGACAGCCAATCACATCACCAATCAAATGCTCTAAAAATGAGTTCATTCACATCTACAACACTTTACGAGGAAGGATTAATCGCCTATACTCATACAAACAAACAAACACACGCATACACCCACACATATGTGAATACATTTACGCACAACAACAGTAGGGAAAAAAACGACTTGTTTGTAGACTACTACTCAAATGAAGTCCATTTTTTTTATCAATGAAGCTGTTTTACTGATTAGAGTTTATCGCTATCGACCATTATTACTTTTAGAGAGAGAGAGTAAGAACGCATGGTGTATAATGTTGAGCATACTATCAGAAAGTTTCAACCCCCAATGATAATTATAAAAATTAGTAATAATAATAATATTAATGATGATTTTCTGTATTCCAAAAGCAGTACTAATGATATAGTAGGCAATTCACAGCATTTCGTGCAATACTGAACCTAATTTACTCAATAATAAAAACCAACATTATATGCGTTATTCATTATAATAAAGGTTTTTGTATTTCCCAATGAATGAATGAAAAACAAAACGATATTGTTGTTAAATAAAGTATAATTATATTTCAATAGTTTACACACAATGATAAGTTTTGTTGTTGGTAATATTTCGAGCAAAATTACTGCCCGTGTTCACACCACTGTTGGAATTGTTTGAATCAAACAGATATTGTTACTGTTTTTACTGACCTTTCGCTATTTAATGCTAATAGCTTTATCAAAGTATCATTAAACCGGAATTTACAAAATCTCAGTATATATGTATAACAAAGAGTTAAGGGGTGAGAAAATAGAATTAGGTCAAGTTAAAAAGACATATCGAAAGTCAAAATAACAATGAAGATCACTAAACCAAATAACAAAGGTAATAGTACATCCAAATGAACTGTCGTCAAGATTTCACAGAATAGTTCTAAAATATTTGGGTGCCCAGTGAGAAGTAGACATTTGTAAAAAATCAAATTTGTAAAATCTCAGCGACATTGAAATGAGTAGTTCCAACGTTTCGTTCGGCAATCTGGTCCGAACTTCTTCAGGGAAATTAATCGAAATTAACATAACAGAGGTTTATATATCAAAGGAACATCACATGTTTTTAAAAACTTTGTCCAATCATGAGCCATGCAACAAGTATAATAAACAAAATTTTATGAGTTGTGATCAAAATTTGACCTCGGACTTACAAATATTGGTCTACCTTTGTTAAACACTTTAGACAGAGTGTGTATGTGTGTGTGTGTGTGGGTAAACAGTTGTAAAACATTTCTTAACGTTTCCATAAGAAGATATGGACAGTCGAGAATTTTGACCAAGTATTATTAATTAATTAGTGATACATATCCATTTTTTATTTATCAATAAGGATTTCCTATGCATCAGCTAACATAACACCTTCATGTCTGTTGAAACTGTTAGTATCTAGAATTTTATGATTAGACGTATTTTCAAAATTATGGTGTTTAGGATTAGAGTTTATTTGAAGCACCCTGTCGGACTTATTGGTTTGTCTTCTTTCTGAAGATTGAGCTGCTTTATTCGACCTACTGGAGTTGTCAGGTGACTCGACAGCTTCGGATTTAGGATATGCATTCTGTTGCAGACAACGGAGAGTGAAAACACGATGATTGTGCCAGTTACACAGTTTCTTTGTTAATTTAATTCGATTGCAAAATAATTTAAATGAACTGTCGTCAAGATTTGACAGAAGAAGTTCGGACCAGATTGCCGAACGAAACGTTGGAATTACTCATTTCAATCTCTCTGAGACTTTACAAATATAATTTTTTACAAATGTCTCATAGTACATCTGTTATGATTTCAAAATAAATTTTACTAACTTGACCATCGTTCGTCAGTCTGGGGGCATTTGTCGTTGTCAGGTCGGTCAATTGGTAGAGATAAGAAAACCATGTGTAGATTGTTGGATTTGATCAGTGTTTAAAATTATAAAGGTAGTGTGTGTTTACATAGTGAATTTGCGTATCACATTCGTGTTGATTTTGTCACTTCATGGTGGAAAGGAGGGAGGTGTTGTAACCAGGTCACATTCGGTTTTAGTCCATCATTCCTATTCAGGCAATTTGGATTCCACTTGATATGAAGTGCTTCTGATGATATTAGACGTTCTTTGTGATTTCTGAAGTTTTTCTGGATTATTTCAATATTGTCAAAATCAAATTTGTGACCTGATTCCATAACATGTAGACCTATGGTTGATGATTTTTCAAGTTTTTCTAGTTCAGTCGGATTTCTCGATGGTCGAACAGATGCTCTAAGGTGTTCATTGCTTCTGATTTTCATTCATTGGGAAATACAAGAAAACCTTTATTATAATGAATATCATATACCCAATGCCCAAATTTTTTCAAACTGTTAAAGGTGAACTTGATTTGGACATATATAAATTATAGGGGTTAGGTAAACAAAATTGATAATGGCAATTTTTTGGAGTTTACAGCAACAATAGAGACAAAATTATACAAAAAATACAAAATGATAATAATAATAATAACTAAAATTATAAGATAGTAGAAACAGTTTCAGCGAAAATTGCAAACAGAAGATCAAAGAGCTATTTTATTTTGTATTAACTACATACTACGTTGTAAGTTCCACGATTAAAAATATCTCTGTCTCATAGAACTCATGCCACTACAGGATGTCGTTGAGATTTTGTACCTAGTTGTACGAGCATATAATCTAGTCCAACATAATTATGACATGGAAAGTGAGAGTTGTGCATAAAGAGGGTTCTGAGAATCAGAGAACACGGTTTTAGCCCATTCCGCACATGAGTTCAAATACCAGTCGAGTACAATAATAATAACGAGCTGGCTTCATGGCACACTAATTACCCTACTGATGAAAACCTTTAATACTCTCCCTAATATGACATAGTCCTTTTTTAGAGTAGCCGTGGAAAGACTGAGAGAGAGAGAGTAATAAAGAACAGTAGGTAAAATATAACAGTTGAGAAAATGTAAGGTTGACTGATACTCAATTATCTTAATTTTTTTGAGAAGAACAAGAAGTTCAGCAAAGATATCTTTTCGGCGATTTCATTTTCAAAAGCTGTACAATCGCATTTAAATACATAATTTTACATGGAGACAATTCTTGTTTGATTCTACATAATTATGACGGCGAATAAAAGGTGATAATTATTTCTAAATAGATATGGTTTTAACGAGAGGCTTAGAAACAAAATTACGCAGGATTAGAACGGGTATCAAGTGTGTAAAAATGAGAATGGATACAAAAATTGAAATAATAATTTTCAACTTGAGATGGGAATCAGGAGGTGCGAATATAGATTACAACAGCCTTAGAAACAAAATTACATGGGATTTAGCAAATTACAGGTGTGCAGAAAGTGAGCATGGAAACAAAAATTGATATAATAATTTTAACTTAAAATGGAAGTTAGGAGGTGTGAATATAGATTACAAGAGCCTTAGAAACACAAAAAATTGAACAGGATTAAGATTTAATTGTAAATTTTTTTTTTAAACAGATTATAAATGTGAACAGGAAAAGCATGGAAACAAACTTAAAATAACTGTTTTTATAACTGAAAAAAATGGGGTGGATCGAATGAAGACTGAGGGAGTAAGAATCACACACATAGCGAACGAAAAGGGATCAAAAAACTAAAACTAAAACAAAAAAAACAAAACAAAACAAAAACGGAAGCTATGGTAACATACCAAACTAAATCCATGGTAGTTGTAGAGGTTGGACTAATTTCTTTTGGACACACAGCTCCGGCTTCTCGATTCATATTGCGAGGGCTTCTGCAATACAGAGAAGTCGGAAACAAACTGCTTTCGGTAGGTTTCTGCTGACTTTGTAAATTACTTTGAATGAATCAGTTGAGATGTCGTGGGAGGTATTGATCAGATGCTCAGTAATGGCACTTCTGATTGAACCGGTGCCTCCTCTTTGCAGCCACGCTGGGTAGTGTTCTCTAACACATTTTGAAAGGACGCGCATACAGCGACCTATGTACCTTGCTCCGCACGAACAGGTGAACTGGTAAATGCACATTGAATTGGTCATATGCGAGAGATTGTCCTTCCCATTGCTCCGAAGAAGTGGGAGGCTAGAGAATGTCACTCTTAGAGTTGCTGCCGGAAAAGTCTTCTTCAGGGATTTGGAGATTCTCCTTTTAAGGATATCTGCTGCTAGGTCTCCCCTGAATTCCAGATTCAGATAGAGTGTCTTCTTTTGCACTGAAGTGTATTCTTCTCTTTTTGGCCTTGGTTTCATGTTCTTCTCCACGAAACGCGGCGGGTATCCGTTTTGAACCAGAATGCTTTTTAGGAATAGGAGCTCTTCTTCTAAACAGTCATCACTACAGATTCTTCTGGTGCGGTGGGCTAGCGAGATGATGAAAGCTCTTTTACGGCTGATAGGTATCCAAACTTCTACAGTTGAATATAAAAAGGAGCATATGAGAGTGATAATAGTGAATTAATTATTAAAGCAGAAGCAAACGAAAAGTAAAATTGAAAATTAAAAAAAGAAAAGCAAAAATCAAAATTTTTTTAACAGGGAACGATTAGTGAGAAGGTTAAGACCAAGGTAGAATAACAGACTGGACAAACG